CTAGAGAAATGGTAGATGGGCCTGGTACATAAGGAACCCTAACATGAACATAATCTTTATATTAATTTTCGTTTTTCTTTTAGAATGGAGATTCTCGTATCCCTTTTGGACATTCAAAATTATTGTGTAAGGAATGTGAACTCTAATTCTATTAATCACTTTTGCATTTAATTTATGAATTTATTTTCTTTTAAGTTTCGGGCCTCTATAGTGCCTAATAAACTCAAAATAATTATGTAAAATCCAATTTTAAATTCAACAAAGGAGCAAAATCCTAGATTAATTTTATAAATCAGCTTCAATTTTTAGGTATATGACGAGTATTTTGGATTTTACATAAAAAATTCAGGGAACTCGGTACCGTTAGGAAGTGTAGTAGATAACTTGACGTCTCGAAATACCAATCCGGGTAAGGATCTTGCACCCTATTCTCCGTTACCATAAATTAAGGCTTAACGATGTATAATTTTGTATTTTTGTGAAAAATTAAAAAACTCTAAAACTAATTACAAGTTATTAGTAGAGCTGGAACCGGTTAGTTCACAATTATTTTGATTTTCTATTTATTTTCCTGTACCGTCATACTTGCTTTATGTTCGTATAATATATATTCTTAATTTATAGTTCAATAGTCTTATCAACTTATCTAGTTATTTTGGTTATATACCATCAGCATGAATGTAGTATAATTGATGTGTGAATGTGATATGAGATATTGGTATGAGTTGTTGGTGTTTTGTTGATGGAAATCTTTATGTGAAAGACTTGGTGGTTACCTAGGGAAATGGTGGATGAGCCCGGTATATAAGGAACCCTACCATGAACATAATCTTTATGTTAATTTTCGTTTGTCTTTTAGAATGGAGATTCTCGTATTCCTATTGGGCATTCAAAATTATTGTGTAAGGAATGTAAACTCTAATTCTATTAATCACTTCTGCATCTAATTTATGAATTTATTTCCTTTTAAGTTTCGGGCCTCTATAGTGCCTAATAAACTCAAAATAATTATGCAAAATCCAATTTTAAATTCAACAAGGGAGCAAAATCCTAGATCGATTTTATAAATCAACTTCAATTTTTAGATATATGACGAGTGTTTTGGATTTTACATAAAAAATTTAGGGAACCCGGTACTGTTAGGAGGTGTAGTAGATAACTCGACGTCTTGAAACATCGATCCGGGTAAGGATCTTGCACTCTTTTCTCCGTTACCGTAAATTGAGGCTTAATAATGTATAGTTTTGTGTTTTGGTGAAAAATTAGAAAACTCTAAAACTAATTACAAGTTACTAGTAGAGTTGGAACCGGTTAGTTCACAATTGTTTTGATTTTCTATTTATTTTCTTGTACCGTCTTACTTGCTTTATTTTTGTATAATACATGTTCTTAATTTATAGTTTAATAGTCATATCAACTTATTTAATTATTTTGGTTATATACTGTCAGCATGAATGTAGTATAATTGATTTGTGAATGTGATATGAGATATTGGTATGAGTTGTTGGTGTTTTATTGATGGAAATCTTTATGTGAAAGACTTGGTGGTTACCTAGGAAAATGGTGGATGGGCCCGGTACATAAGGAACCCTACCATGAACGTTACCTTAGTCGGACGAGGTTGAAAAATTATTTACCAAAAAAGTTTGGAAGATATAGTTCACCCTCATACTGCGATGTTTGGTGCCCACTACTTGACGGGATATAGGGACGGTCGGTCAATTGTAAAATTAGATATTGGGTTCACGAATAAGAGGGAATGCCCCATATGAACCTCTAGAGGTACCAATAAACAAGTAAAAAAGGAAAACTATTGTTTCTCGTTCTCTTATGTATGAAAGTAAAAAGTGATATGGATATGTATCTTCATAGGTTATATTTGAAAAACTCATTATGG